TATAAAAAGTAGGGTCATCTATGATAATTAGTTACATAGGAAAGATTTCTAATTATGTTGAAGACATTAAGAAATTCTAAAAAATGATTTGCCTGTTCTTTTTCTTTTGTCCTTTCAGAAAGAGGTGCCGAAGATTGCTTGTCTTTGCCTTACAGCAATATCAAGATAATTAAAAGAAGGGACTGAATTATCATTAGGATTTGGCTCCTGCCCAAAGATAATTAAAATGTGAGGATAAATTGTAGCTTATTTTCAAAAAAATCATCTCTTCTTCAGAACCAATTATTTGTAGTAGCAACACTAGTATCATCTAGTTTCCTTTTCAGAATTCAATTTGAGCCTTTTACAAGGTATAGAATTCATAGCTTTTACCTGCAAAGTATGTGCTTTACTATTTGTGGAACAGAAATATTCTAAATATTCTCTCACATCTATGGAGTGTAAGGGTTTGCTTGCAAATTGTCACTCAACCCACATCAAAGCTCTCTTCCTTTTAATACTGGAGAAACCCTAAAAGGTTCCGGATGTAGCATCTTCCTTTGTGCATCATGACTACTGGCTGAATGCTCAGAGGGACCTTTTCCAGGTTAAATCTTCTATCTACTTTGGAGAAAGCTGCAACTGGAATGAATGGGATTTTTCTTTCCAGTGACGATCCTAGTGGTAGGCTAGTCTAGGACAACTGACCGCAGCTGCCTCACCATGTCTACCCCGCTGCCTTCCCCCACACTCCCCCTCTTCCCTGGTCGCCTCTCCCCCACTTTGCCCTGGGATTACTCGCCTTGGCCGACTTGCCACATGGGACAACTTGCCATGCAGACAACTCACCAAATGCCAAAGGCAAGGGAGAACATCCTCCTCTGCAAAGTTTATCTCTGGTCCTTTCTCATTAGGATAGAGGGGGAAGAGGCTGTGTGTGTGTGTCTGTGTTGTTGTCCCTTATTTCTTGCCCAGATGTATACAAAAACAGAATATTCTTCTCTAAGGGGAAGGGGATCTCTACACCCTTTCCTCCCCTCCCCCTTAACCACTGGATTTGTTCTTCAATTTTAAACTTGCCCATCTCCTCTAAAAAGTTCTTTCTTGTTGGGGGAGGGGGAATCTCATCCGAAGACTAATTTGCTTATCTTTCAAGTCCTGAATCTCCTGCTGGGGTCCCATCCAAGGACTAATCTATTTAGCTTCCAGGTCTTGGATCTGGTGGTGTTCCATTCAAGGATTAATCGGCTTAGCTTTTCAGTCCTGGATCTCCTGGTGGTGTTGCATCCAAGGACTACTCTGCTAACTTCCAATTCCTCTGTTGTGTCCCACCCAAAGACCTGGAAGCTAAGCACCATTGTTGCTTGCTACACTTAGCACTGATTCTATATTAGTGTTACACAAACATGAGCCTTAATTTACTAGAACAGGGATATATAATTGGTAGGATAACAAAGCTTGGAGTGTAACCTACAAGTTTTTCCCAAAACAAATTTTGAATGTGATAGAAAGAAAACATATCAAAAGCATCATGTTAACTTAATTTATTTTGTTTTACAGTAGTTTCCTCTTTGTTCTGGTTTCTGCCACCACTTCTGAAAAATATTGCACTGTTAGAAGTTTGCCCTTTTATTGTGGTGGATCAACCTTTCATCCATTACTTAGAATCATAGGACTGGAGGAGACATTGGAAATTTAATCTAATCCCCTGCCCAAGGCAGGAGACCTAATTCATTGCAGACAAATGGCTTTTCTTGAAGACTTCCAGCGATGGAGCACCCACAACTCTGGATGGCAATACATTCCACTGACTTATTCTCACTGTCAGGAAATCAGAATTTCATCATTTTCTGGAAACTAAGGCCTGAATAATTATGGATTTTTAAATGAATTGATACATTCCATAGAAGTTGAATATGTTCTATGACAAGAAGTAACAGATGGAAGCTTAACAAAGAGAAATCCGACCAAGAATTAAGGAGAGATTTCCTGACAGTGAGAACAACTAATCAATGGAACAGCTTGCCTGCAGAAATTGTGGGCGCTCCATCACCAGAATTTTAAAAGAAGATATTGGACAGCCATTTTTTCAGAATGGTATAGGGCCATGATGGCAAACCTATGGCACATGTGCCAGAGGTGGCACACAGAGGCCTCTCTGTGAGCACGTGAGCTGTTTCCTCAGCTCAGCTGTGTGGTGCATGTGTGCATGCGCCTCCCACCGGCCAGCTGGTTTTCAGGTCTCTGCCATGCATGCACGGGGGGCAGGGTGCATGCACAGGGATGCATGTGTATTGCACTTTGGGTGTGTGTGCATGCACACACTTTGGGCAGTCGGTGCCAAAAACCATCACTGGTATAGCATCTTCTGTTTGAGCAGAGGGTTTGCACTAGAAGACCTTCAAGATCTCTTCCAACTCTGTTTATTCTGCATTCTGCCTTTAAAAACATTGCTACAAGATCAGATTAACAGGACTGCACTTTTGGAAACTGGAGTAGTGTTTTCAGCTCCCTCCTGAACATAAACAGAATTTGCCAATGTGCTAAACACAAACATGTTAAACCTTGAATTATTTATAAAAATAAGAAAAGTGAAATATTTAATAAATGCTTGTGAAAAAATAAGTTTTTGCTAGCCCTCTGTCAACAAAAATGCAGGCAGGGGGTGGCGTGTTGGCCCCATTTTCAGCCCGGATGGTCTCCTGCAACCCTTTGCCAGTGAAAGCGGAGCCGGTGTGTGTGTGTCAGTTTTCACTGTTTCCAGGGCGGCCCCGTGGCCAGATCTAAGCACCCACAGGCACATATGGCCTGTGGCCCTTGAGTTTGACACCCCAGCTCAAGATCCAGATAGATCTTGACACACTTGAACACCGGGCCCTAACAAAATAAAATTCAATGTAGAGAAAAACTAAGTCTTACACTTAGGCAGGAAAAACCAAAAATACACATACAAACTGGGTGAAAGGAGGCTTAACAGCAGTAACTATAAGAGGGATCTTCAAGTCTTAGTGGACAACCAATTAAATATGAGCTAATGGAGTGTGGTGGCAGCCAAAAAAGCCAATGGAATCCTAAATTGCATGAACAGATGGATACAATCAAGATCAAGTAAGGTACTAATACCACTCTATAAAGACTAAATAAGATCACACCTAGAATAGTGCATCCAGTTTTGGTCACCACACTATAAAAAAGATGTTGAGACTCTAGAAAGAGTGCAGAGGAGGAGGAGGAGAAGAAGGATGAGGATGAGAAGAAGATGAAGGAGAGGGAGTGGGAGATTATTGCTTGGTTGCCTGGAGGGGACTGGAGGCTAAAGCATACTGATGAATGGTTGCAGGGTAGTCTAGTGAAGAGAAGGACCAGGAGTGACATGATAACAGTATTCTGATATTTGAGGGGCTGCCACAGAGAGGAAGGGGTCACGCTATTTTCCAAAGTACCCAAAGGCCAGACAAGGAATAATGGATGGAAACTGAAAAAGGAGAGATTCAACCTGGAAATAAGGAAAACTTTTCTGACAGTGACAGCAATCAACCAATGGAACTGCTTGCCTTGGGAAGTTGTAGGGATTTCATTACTGCAAACTTTCAAGAACAGACTGGATTCCTACTTCAGTGAGGGGTTGGACTAGATGACCTACAAGGTTCCTTCCAACGCTGTTAATCTGTAAATCTGTTGTAGGTTGAGGACTATCTGTAGTGCTAAAAGTTGACACTAATTTGACAGTATATAACCATCCAACAGATTCCAACTGTATTATTTATAATTTGACACAGTAAAACTCTAGTTAGTGATTTGTAGCAGGGAAAAACTACTGGAGAAGGGCTAACTAAACTTTTTGTCTGTTAATAAAACAAAATTGGAATACAAAATGCATGCTTTGAAAAAGGAGTGGGGGAATGGGTAGAGAGGGCTAGAAAGTTGGATAACCAAACTGAGGGAGGATGTGCAAGATTAAGAATGAAGTAGTTAATTATTTGCAAGGCAAGGTATCATGTGAAGCACAGAATGATTAAAGAGTTTGGGTGAAAAGGAGAGGTAATTGGTATGACAACCAATATATAGAATTCCCTCTGTCTGCTCTCAGTCCATGCTCTTAGTATCTTTCTAAAACATGTATCCTGCAGGGATTTTTTGTTAGCCTTTCCTTCCTTTTTTGAATCAGCCGAAAGTGTTCTTTCTGCTCATTACTAGTCCCTAGGTGGATGCACCAGCCAGATAGGTGTGAAGAGCAAGTAGAAAAATGGAGGTCTCGGGGAGGTCAGGAGAGGAAACCAGGTCCTCCAAGACCCACTCATGGAAAGATTGTGTGGAAGAAGCGGTAAATTGTTTCCTGGCTATTTATCATGGAAGTCAAGTGCTTTAAGATTCCAGCCCAGAAAAGCCTTTGATGGAAGGGGGGTGGGAATAAGCCGAAGAAATACACAATAGCTTTTCTTAAATGATCCGTATGAAAACAGTCAGCATGTCATCAGTCACCAGGCTCAATTCTGTGGCGGGAAAGAGCACAGTAACTGGGGCTGCAAACTTGGTCCTCACCTACTTTTTTGTAGGTTCCAGTGATGGCTGCCTCTGCGAGGCCAATCGACCCAGGATGGAATCCTCGAGAGTCCCTAGCGAGTGGCACCCGGGCCTAGAGGCGCAACGCCACGGGCCATGGTGGGGCTCTGAAGCCGCGCGCTTTAGAGCGGGCAGGCCGCCGCATGGAGGTACGGTTGGGCTCATTCGTTGGCCCAGCGAAGAGCCCTGCGGGGTGGTGATCCGGGATCCTTCGAAGCTTTGGGAGAGTTTTATCTGGGATTTTCCCACTCAGGGGACAGGATGTAGACGGTCGTGCCCCGCACGTAGATATCGGGAAAAACGCAATTCGCCGCTTCGGCGCTGTTCGGTGCAAGCTCCTGGGCGGCAGCAGCAGCAGCAAGCAGCAACAGCAGGAGCCGATTAGTCGAGCTGCCATCTACAGGCGCCTCTTCGAAGCGAGTCCTATATAATTGGGGAGGAAGCGGGTCAAAGGAGGCAGTCGCTTGCCAAGCCGCCCGCGGGAGGAGAAGCAGCTCCCTGCGCTCGACAGGAAGGGAAAAGGCGACCTCGCGGTAAGACAATTGCTCGGCCCTGCAGGGGCTGAGCGTGCTGGCTCAGCCAAAGGGCCGGGTCGGCGAAGTGGGGCGAAGCTGCGCCAGTCGTCTCGGCGGCGGGGAGCAGCAGAGGCTTAAGGCTTTGGGCGGGCGAGCGAGGGAGCGAGCGAACAAAAGCCTCCCAGGAGGCCAGCTTTCCTAGCTGTTTTTGTATCTGGGGAGGAGCGGTCCACTTTTCGGCGGATCCACTTTCGTGATCTTTGTCAATTTTGGACGCTGCCCATTTCCAAGTCCAGTCTTGGTCACCTCTGTCGGGAGAGAGAAATCCCCCCACTTTAGCTCCTGAGCCCCCTTTCTTCCGTATGGTTCCCCTGACAGTAGAAGCGGCGCCTTCATTTGTCCCGGGGCGAATGCCATGCCTTGCTCAAATATGGCCAGACTTGTCTGAATCGTTCTTTCCAAGAGATCTTACTTTATTTACTATTACATTTTTTTTTGCAATGCTCTTCATTTAGATTTACGAACAACTTACGGGTACATTTATTGCTTTTCAAGCTCTTTCTGCTGACTTTAAGTATCTTAAACCAGCTATTCCTTACTCAGACCGATCGCAGTTCTGCAAGCCTGATCCCATGTAAGTTACAGCAGTTGCGTTAATTCAGACTTTATAGTGCAGTGGAAGGCAGGCGTGCTTTTGGAGTTACGATTTCAGCGGGGTGCACTGCTAAATGAGAATGCTCCTATAACTCTTGTTAAAATAGGGTTTATTTAAGTAGAATTGCATTTGGCCAGGCTTCCCAACTTCATTGCTAAGCCCACACATTGAGGAATGGGGGTGCACGTTAAATATACTGAAACGTTTGACCAAACTTTCTTGAAACGTCACTGAATGTTTAAATAAAGGAAATCTGATGGAGAGGGTAGCTATAGCAAATACCTTTGGGTTCTCTGTGCAAGTTTGGCCACTTCCAGGAGCTTTCTTAATAGCAGTTAAGTCAGTGACCAGTAGTTTAGTCAAATTGTAGGAAATCAGCCCCACCAATCCTGAAATCCCAGGCAGTACTGCCAAGAGAAGTACGGTACTATTGAAAATGGTGGAGTTGTTGTCAAACCAAACATGCATTTAAATCAGATTGGAGACATTTGCAAAGTGGTGAGCTGCCTATGCCTTTTAATATTGCTTAAGAAAACCCCCAATATCTACTAAAAAAGATCCAGTTACTCTGTCATCTGTTTGGGACAGGCACCCCTCCTGACAAAGCGTTCAATCACCAGTAGAAAGAGCAATAAACATTTCCCATGCAACCTGGAGCAATAGAGGGTTGTAAAGTTATTCTGTTAGTTGTTAAAAGCAGAATAATGATAGTTTTTAAAGGGAATAGAGGAGCTCATTAAAGCATTTATGGTATTTTGAAACTATTTGGGGATATTCCCCAAAATACTTTATTCTACAAAATTACAGGGTTAGTTAAGGGAATGTTGAGTTTCTTTAATAGTACGGATGCAGCCGCTGAGTTTATAGAACAAGTGATTTGTGCAAGAAATCCAGAGCAATGTTCCTCTCTGTTGAACTTGCGGTCAGCAGATATTCTGAGTTACTGATCTCTGGAACAGCCTTTTTTCTGCGGAAAAAGAAAGGGAGTTAATTCATACATAGTGCAAATGATTCTGTCAGCCTTCTGAGCTACAATTATTACTAAGCTATATAAATGAAATGCATGCATGCAAAATATGTCACATGATTTTTATAATAGTTTTTTTTTCTATAAGTGAATATATAGTTTTAAACCAACAGGATATTAATTATAGTTAATGACATCATATAAAGAATGGAGGAGCACCACTATTTTAAAACATCTAATGCCATTTATTAATAGCCAGCAACACTGCCTATAAATATTTTATAATATTGTCTTAATGGTATCATTTGGGACCCAGCTTTCTTGTCATTCCTATTTTCATTAGCAGAACCAAAATCTGGATGCAGTTAGTTTGATTACTCTGAGAGCAAAAAGTGTTGAAGGAATTAACTTCAGAGGTTCATAGATACTTTGGCTTTGTGCATGCTTGTTTATTTAGAAGATACTGAGAAGTTCTCTAGCTTGCTGTTTAGCTAAATTGTGTTTGTTTGCAGCATGGTAGAATTCTCAAAGAGATTTAATATGATGCAGGGTGTGCTGGATTATATTTTGTAATCTCCTTTGTGAGACTTTTTTCCAAGATGATTCATTAGTGCAAACTCTGGGCACACAAGTAAATGATGCTATTATTACTTTTGATTTCTCCACAATTATCATACAATAAATCCAGTGCTGCTTCTCTGCTAAAATATGATTGCTTTTAATTCAAAGGTACAAAAAGAGCAGATAAACCAAGATATTTCAAAACTATGTTCTTACTTTAAAAAAAAATGATTTTGTGATAGTGGATTGAACAGATCCGCTCTGCGTATGATATACTCCAAAGTTTCAAATATTAAAAATATTACTGAAATCCAGTCAAAATTAAATAGTTAAAATTCATATATGGCATGGATTGAACAAAGTGTGCCTAATTTTGCATATTTAAAACCAGTGATACTTAATGTCTATCTTTACAGAACTTATATCATTTACATCACCTCTTTTGTTCTGCGTTCTCTTTATATTTTTCTCCTTCCACCAGTTAAGGACTTTGAGCAATTTGAAAGCTTCTGTATTCCTATAAAAGCTAGCCCAATTGCATTTTGAGTTAGGAGCTGTCCCAATACCAATTTGAGGCTCATTTTATGTGCCAAGTACTGGACTATCTAATTACTGTTATTGCATCACCAAATATTTTGTGAGGCATTTGTCAAGAATGTCCCATACGAAGAATGTCCCATATGTGTGTGCAGTCAATTGAGCTAGATATATCTGTGCATTTAGTAAAGAAGGCAGAAAAATGGTGTATTCCTTTCTGAAATGCAGCATTTTGGTTAACATTGGAAATGATTATCCATAATCTTTAGATTTGAAGTTGGCAGGATAAAGTTTTGTAATCTAAAAAGAATATTCCAGAAGTATTTTAAATTTGTTAGCCAGGTATTATCAGATCAGGCCACCCACTACCCTTTATTTAATAACATGTTAAGATGGACAAAGTGAGTTATTTAACTACTGTATACAATTAGGTGAGAGCAGTAGCCTCTAGGCTCAGTAGTATAATGGCTGCCAGAATACTGCAACCCCAGAAGTAATGATAGCTCACAATCCCCATTTGCACTCGGAAAAGAACTATCTAACGTCAAAGACAAAATACAGAAGGAAGACAACAGCAACAAAATACAAAATCAATTGCAACGACTGTAACCAATTCTATGTGGGACAAACAGGAAGGCAATTAAAAACAAGGGTTCACGAACATCAAGTAGCAGTTAAATGGCATGACCAAAATCCCTGTTCTCAAACCATATTGATAATAAACACACCAGTTCAATTGGGAAGGAACAAAAATCACTGGTCGTGCTAACACCTGCCACACATGTGAATTTATTGAAACCTGGTATTCTACCAATGGAGTAATTAACATGCACATTGATCTAGATCCAACAAATGAATTTATAAGAAATCAGACCATTCAAGCAATCAATCAACAAGAGAACCAGTCAGCTGCTCAGAATTTAAACATAGCTCCAAATGAACAACCAATCAAATGACCAACTGACCGCACTGGCATACAAAACATTTATAAACTAAGGAAAATAGGTCAAAATCCTGCTGATTATGTTACCTGGTCTGGTAACAAAATGTTCAGAAAAGACCGTATTTTTTGGAGTATAAGACACACTTTTTCCACCCCCAAAAGTAGGTGGAAATGTCTGTGCCTCTTATACAGCGAAAGCCCCATCCACCTGCCGGCCCCCACCCTTTGGCCTCTGCCTCCCAGCAATTTGCCTCCTTACAGCAAACAGCCTGTTTCAGTTTTGGTTTCAGCATAGCCTGATTAGCACAAGCAGCTGATTTTCGGTTGGATCAGCTTCCATCAGCTGTTTCAGGCTGCAGGGATTGCCATCGCCTATTGCTGCCCCCGCGCATCCCATTTTTGGCCTCTGCACACCCCGTTTTCGGCCTCTGTGCACCCCATTTTCCACCCATTCTGATCCTCGCCGCCTGGAACAGGCAGCAAATGGGGCATGTGGAGGCTGAAAACCGGATGCAGAGGCCAAAAATGGGGGGCATGGAGGTGGCAATAGGCTATGGCAATCCTTGCAGCCTGAAACAGCTGGTGTGGTCAATCCAACCGACAATCAGCTGCTTGTGCTACTCAGGCTGTGCTGAAACTGAAACTGAAACTTGCTGTTTGCTGCAAGGAGGCAAATTGCCGGGAGGCAGAGGCAGATTTGTTTCCCTTGTTTTCCTCCCCAACAGCTAGGTGTCTTATATTTTGGAGCGTCTTATACTCTGAAAAATGTGATAAATTAAAACAAGTTTGGAGAGCAAACTGCTGCCAAAATCAGTATAGTATAATCTCTTATCTATAGAAAAAGAAGAGGGAAAGAAGCAGGTGAGGTAGAAAATAACATTATAAGCCAGCAAGGGCTGATGTGTAAAGAAGAGAAGGGAATCAAGGAAGATGGAAAAAATAGGTATGTAACTTAAACATCCTGACAGGATAATTCCGCAACCTGATCTTTCAGCTATTGAGCTCTTTTGTTCCTTTAAAGGCAGCCATACACCAGCACTTCATACACCAGCACTTCTTTCTGCCATTTTCTTCCAACTTTCTTGGGAGAATTTGGACACAGAAAAGTGAAACAGATCATTCATTTCCCAGCCAAATACCCAGCTCTGATTACTTGAATAATCCCGGACAATAACCAGACTAGAATTCTACTTCAGTAATGGCTGTCCCTGATCTTACATGTTGATAGCTAATCCCCCTGACAATCAGAATATCATTTTTCTAGCTGTGGACATTTTTTGCTGACATGCAAGCCTGATTTGTAGATTTAAATGTTCAAGTATGTCTAGAATTAAAGCAGGCTACGCAACACAGGAAGATGTAATGGTAATGTGAACCACCCAGTCCCCCAGGAGTTAACAATTGCATTGGATTCTGTTTAGCTGGATCTGAACTAGGCTTTTTTGCTATTTTTGAGATGAGCCCAAACCAGTTTATATTCCCATCTTTCAAAGGTTTCTCTTCTGTTCCAGTGATGAGAAGAGAGGCATGTAGTTTACTAGAACATAGATATTCATTTAATTATTGATTTCACTGAGTTGCTCCTGGTGGCACCATTGATCAGCCTGAGGTCTTTTCTGAACACATTCGTTAATATTCATTCTACAGTTCTCTTACATTAATAGGAATGCTTTTAAAGAACACTTCAAGTGTAATGATTTGTTGAGTCCACAACATTAAACCAAGTTAAGTGTTAAAGTGCTTGACTAAATTGGATGGGTTTTTTAAAGGTTTTTATTTCACTTGTGACAACCTAGTGCTTCCAGCTGCACTAAATCAGTTTGTGCAAATCAAAGGAAAAATGATAAATCAAACAAATATGCATTTAGATTCCATTTTAAATATGTTTAAATTTAATTTAAAGTAAATAGAATATCAAAGGGAAAAAAGAAAACTTACAAATACTAAAAGCAAAGAACAGGAGGAAATCAA